CCTACTGTCTTTTTACTCCGCTTCTGTGGCGGAGCAAAACGGGTTGCCAACGGGTGCAGGACATTTCCCAGATGTTTGCGTCTGATCGCGGCCTTAAGTTCCGCCCAGCATTCGCCCCAATGGTGCAGCTAATTCTGCATGTGATCACACCCTATAAATACTTTCCCTCAGTCATTTTGTATACGTGACTCAATATGTCTGCAAGATCTCTCAGTGTAGGCAGAATGGTTTTTAGGGGCTGGATACTTGTAATCAGTGCTTTTCCAGTATAAGAAATCTGAAAGATAGTGTGAAAGGCTTAGGTACAGTATATGAAGCTTTTGTTAATGTGTAGTTTGTGATTTTGCCAGAGAATTGCATAACTTCAGCATTATTTCTTTTTGTCTCCTGCAGTTCTGTCTGGGTTTCTGAATATTGTTCTTTTCCCCTCTGCTAATTTAATCTGTGTAGTGTTTAGGTTTTGTAGAGTGAGTTCATAGTTCACCCAGTTTTGATCAGTTCTCTCTTTTTTAAAGTTCAGTTTATTATTTCTAAGCCCCTTGTGTATTGCTTTCAATTGTGATTATTGGAATCGATTACAGAGCAGATGGAACAAAGCCTTGGGAAGACAAAAGACCATGTTTTGGGAACCTGCAGTCATGAGCGGGAGGAACCTACCAAATTCCCTTTAGCAAATGCAGCGGTTGGCAGAGTAAACAGACTGGTTTTGACACATCAGCAGCCAATAAAACAGTCCATCTCTATAAATATATGTTTATAATCTGCTAGCTTTGACTGCCAGTGGTCGAGTATAATTCTAGAAAGAATGGAGCCCAAAGAATGTGATGGGTAGGTTTAGAGTTGAAGGTCTCACGTAAGAAGGGATGGATTAGGCAAGCAGCCTCAAAACGAAGCTGAGGAAGAGGCAGGGTTCAACAGGAAGGTTGAGCAGAACAGGCTTAAGTCAATAGAAAAAGAGGAGGAACCAAGCTGAGGAATAGCAGTACAGCCAGGAGGGGCATAAACCAAAATAAATTCTCTAAGTTTTCTTCTCAGTTGGAAAGGGACAATGGGGATGGTGGACAAACTGGCAGCACATTCTTGATACTGCTGATGTATCAAACTGTGAGAGGGAGGCAGTTTCCAATAGGATCTATGGGGATCTCTCATGCTCATGGCAGTGCTCATCTGGTAGAATCTTGTAGTTAGTAAGAAGTTCCCACAGCTAGGATTTTATCCTTTGTGTGGAACACAAACGTACCCATTTTGTAAAATGGAAATAAAGCATTAGGTCTGCTCTGAATACTAGTTGGGTCTATGTTTATATTTAAGATCTTGTTATTCAGT